ATACAGACTATAGGCTTGTACTGCCAGCACTCCATTCTTTCAATCATTCTGATTCACTCTGGGTTTCTAGAACTTTCCACCCATAAAGCTGCTGCTGTCTTCCAGTCCAGCCCCAGCTGCACCCTCCACAAGGCTCACGGGTGAGGGCACCCTGCTGCCACATCCACCCTCAACCTTCTGAAAGCTCCCTGCAGCACAGCCCCACGGGGACCATCTCTCCCACCTGTTCCCTCGCGGAGCCCATCCCTCTCTAATTTGCATATTCTGTTTTTAGCATTTTTTTCTGGATTTTACATAATCGTGTCATTAGGAGGCTGTCATGGGAACCAAACGCTCCCTTTTCAAAGTACCTTCTGGGCTAATTGCATGTCTACTATCTCCGTTTCTTTTTAAAATGAATTTTACATTTTGGGATATATTGACTGAACAAGCTACTTTAGGAGGCCAGGACAGAGGAGTCCCCACGTGCCCCCAAATGATGTCCGCATGACTTAGGTCTTAGGGTGACCCCTTGTTCCTCCCACAGTGAAGCAAGGCTGAGCTCCTGGAGTTGGGATCTCTTAGTCTCCCCCAGGATGCTCCCTGTTAGAGTCCTAATCCAAGGTCAAGCCAGCTTTGTTGTGACATCATACCCTGAGGACAGTTCTTCAGACTTTGTTTAGATTCACTGGGGCATGTTAAGGAGTCTTGGATAGAGGTCTGAGAATATCCGCTCATTGTGAGCAGTGCAATATTTTCCCTTATCCTTCTCTACCTAGGGCTCAGTGTTGGAGCTCCACCTAGAATCCCCAGTGAGGGGCTGGGGGCGTGGTCAGGATGGAGCCCCGCCTAGAATCCCCAGTGAGGGGCTGGGGGCGTGGTCAGGATGGAGCCCCGCCTAGAATTCCCCAGTGAGGGGCTGGGGTTTAGCTCTGCTGTGAGTGGGGAAGCCATTGGTTCAACCCTAGGTCTACAAAGGAAACAGGCTGTGGATGGGCACACAGAGCTACAGCGGCCCTGCGGCCCTGAAGATAAGCCAGGCACTGAGCTCTGGTCTGCGGTCCGTATTTGCAATCAGGACCTCTGCAAGGTGACTGTGGGCTCCCGTGCATCTCTTTGGACATAGGTGCTCTTTACGTTTTTTTTAAACTTCCATTCCTGCATCGCATGTGCACGTGCCTTGATGTGTGCAAAGACCCGAGGACAGCTTGTGGCTCTCAGTCTTCTTCCACCACCGCGTGGGTCCCGAGGACAGGCTTGGCGGTGAGCACCTTCACTATCTGAGCCATCTCGTGGCCACGGCTCTTTAGGTTTGAATGGAAATTAGCTTGTTCAGGTTTTTATTCTTGTCCAAAGTGGACCATCCTGCTGTCCACGCTGTCTCCACACACCGGTCCTCATCAGTGACACTGTCAGGTGACTCTGTCCCTCTGGATGCTGGGCCATGGCACACCAGGGGAGTTCCTGGCATGGAGTTAGTGGAAACCAACGACTTTCTGAGCATCCGTAGGATTCAGGGCATGCCCCCAACCCACAGTGTACCTGGGGGACCCCATCCTGACCGTGAACGAGATCCAGTTGCCTTCCAGCTGATCCTGAGGTGGGCAGGGAGCCTCCACCTGGGCGGTGCTGGCCTTAGCTGGGCATGGTGGCACATGCTCATCCCTGCAGAACTGGGAGCTGAGGCAGAAGGATTTCCAGGAGTTTGAAATCAGTCTAGACTATAGTGTTGAGACGTTCAACCCAAAGCATAAAAGACCTTGAGCGGTTGGTGTTCAGTCCTGAACTCAGCTGTCCTTGGGCCCTGTCTGTTCAGAGCTGTGACAGAGCCAGCTCCGTTCCAGTCACCTCACACCCTGGTCCCTGCCTGCTTCGTGCTCTCTTGCCTGTGCGCTGCACCCCATGCAGAGGAAGCCATCACCCTCTGCTCCCTGCCTTGGCAATCAGTGCTCCTGGGTGACATATTTAGATGGTTGCTATGGTGATGGGCTTGACAGCTTCATGTGGCACAAAAGACGGGTCCCGCTTTGCTATATCGAGCCTGCAGAAGACCGTGTGCCTGTGCCACGTGCCCCTGTCAGCGTAGGAAGGGAAGGGGGCTCAGACAGCCCGTCCCACCCACTCGCTCCCCACGGAGGAGCGGCGACCCGCTGGAGGAGGTATGACTGTCACCTTGAAAGATGTGTAGGGAGGAACAGGGCTCACTTAGGGGTGACTGGGTCCTCCAGGGGACACTGGGCTATGCCTGGGGACATGTGTGTCTACCCCAACTCAGAGTGTCCTTGGCATGTGGCAGGTGGAGGCCAGAGATTCTGTTGCGTATAATCAGGACCCAGGGTACACGCTGAAAACGGTGCGCGGTGTCCCCAGGCTGTGGGAAGCTGGGTCCTCTCCTTGCTCTGCCCATGGCTGTGACAAGCACCTGACATAGGCGGCTACGGAAGGAAGGGCTTGTCCTGCACGGTTAGCACCCTCCATCGTGGCCATACCGAGTCCGCAGTCAGGAAGCAGAGAGAGGCGATCGCTGGGCTCCGCCCACGATCCAGCCCACGAGGTGGCATTGCCGCGTGCAGGGACACTCGTCTATACCTTGTCAAGGTGACAGTGACATGAAAACACCAAGGTCACACTGAGACAAGAGGATAACTGTGAGCTCGAGGCCAGCCTGGACTGCACCCTGGGATCATGGAACCCTTTCCTCTGGACCTCCCTGAGAAAAAGTAAGGCAGCCTGGTCCAAGGGTACATTGGGATGGATTTTGTTTGCTGTTCTGGGCTGGCCTCGAACTCACAGAGATCTGTCTGCCTCTGCCTCCCGAGTGCTGGGATTAAAGGCGTGCACCACCACTGCCCGTTCCTGTCTTTCAGAGACCTTGACCCAAAGGGTATCACAGCCATTGGTGAGAGAGATGAAATTTGGGGCCATGGCTGTTGGGGCTTAAAGAAATCAGCTAAAATCTTAATGTCAAAAAAAATCCTTTTTAAAACCAGCTCTGACTGGTACTGGGGGATTCGGCACTAAACTGTGGAATTGGGGTTCGATTCCCGGCATCCCCATGGTGTTTGTGACATCATCTCTGGGCTCTGGTGATCCCTTCTGGACTCTGAGGGCGCTGCGTGCACATGGTCAGTGTGTGCATGTGCGCGCCTATGTGCATGGGCGTGCATCTGCATGTGCACGAGTGTGTGCATGTGTGTAAGAAGTTTCCTCGTGCCCCTCGGTGGCCCATAGAGTGGATGACAGGGATCCTCATGACACTGCTTTCTGAGTGGTCACAGAAACCAGAGCTGCAGCGTCCTCTCCTTCCCGCATCGAGTGATCTCTGGGACAAGAGTGGCTCTTGCGGGCTCCAGGTGTTGAGTGGGTGTGGCTGAGGTGTTGTGTAGCACCCTCCCTGTGGCCCCTTGTCCCACCCTGGGGGACCCTCTGTGGTCTGGCCTGGAGCGTGGAAGGACTGGGGTCTGTCTCAGTGATGGCCGGGGTGTCCTGCCCCAACCAGCCCTTTTTCCCTGTGGACTCTCTGCTGCCCTTGCGTGACAAAGGTGGGAAGTGGTCACAGGGTCCTTGTCGGTCCCGGGTCATCCGTTGGGGTCCTGGAGTCACTGTGACTAGACTGAGTCAGGACGACCTCGGGGACCCACAGAGCTGTCTGGGGACGCAGGACAGAGTGGACGCTGCTCAAGTCCCTCAGGGAACCAGCTCGAGACCCGCCTAAAAGGACCCTAAGTTATTATTGAGAATTCGGGCCTTGCTCCTTCACCATGAGCCCCAGGCGTGCCCCCCCCTTTCCCGGTTTCTGGGGCCAGCTGCTCTCCCTCTGCACTCAGCATGCCCCTCAGCTCCTCCAACGACTTAGTGTCCAGCCTGGGTGTGAGCACGTGTGCAACTCTCAGTTGCCTGGGTTCGTGTGAAGTGGCTGGAATCGTCCCCGTGGATGGGCGTGTTGCTCCAGCCTGGCCTCGGTGCAAGCAGGATTCCAGCCGCTTCCTGCAGCGGCGCTGCCATCTGCAGGCGGCAGCCAGGATTGCAGCTGCATTTGCAAAACCAAAAACCTCAGAAAGGTACTTGGGTAGAGCGCTCTCCCAGCAAGCACCAGGCCCGGGGCACCACATAAGCCAGCCTAGGCTACATAGTGAGTGAGGACAGCCTGGGCTCAAGAGACCCCGTCTCAAGAGGGAGAAAGATAATATTTTAGGGCTGGAGATTAAGAGCACTGACTGCTCTTCCAGAGGTCCTGAGTTCAATTCCCAGTGTCCACATGGTGGCTCACAGTCATCTGTAATGAGTTTGGTGTCCTTTTCTGGCCTGCAGGCATACATGTAGACAGAATACTGTATACATAACAAATAAACCTAAAAAAAAGATAATATTTTAAAAAGGGTTTATAGCCTAGCATGTGATCTCAAGCACTGAACTAGCAGAGGCAGGAGGATTGTGAGTTTGAAGTCAAATACATAGTGAAATCTTGCATCAAATAAAATAATATAAAATAAAGTAAGGGCTGGCTAGAGGGCTCAGCAGATAAAGGAGCTTGCTGTCAAGCCTGAGGTCATGAGTTCGAGCCCTAGAACCCACAAGGTGGAGACACACACACACACACACACACACACACTGAATATGTCTTTGGGGGTTAAGGTTGGGAAATAGCGCAGAAGTGCCCTTCTTTCCCCATGAATCATGCTGGTCAAGTCCAGCATTTATTGAGCTCCCACTGTATACAAATGCTTTCTAGAAATGCCCTGGTGTGACCCTCAGGAGAGGCGCACGGGGACCTGGGAGGTCGGCCACCGCCCTCTGATGGGCAGTCCCCTGCCTCCGTTCTGCAGACGACTGTCTCTGACCCGTCCATGCCCACCCACCACTTCCCTTTCAAATGCGCAGTAGATGAATTATGAATTCCGCCTCATTCTTTCGGTAAATTGCTGTTTTCATCCGGCCCGCGCAGGCCGAACCCCACAGCTTGTCGGGACCCCCGACCTGACATCCGCGGTGCCAAATTAACGCCCAGTGTTCTCTTCCAGGGAGCGAAGGCTTCTGGTTGGAACCTCGGTACTGGGACGGTGGACTCGGTGCAGGTAGGTGCTGTGCTCGGTGCCGTGCTCGGCTTTGAAGCCTGGGTGGGAGTGAGGAGTCCTGCGGGACAGGATCCGCACGGACGGGGAAGGGGGCCATGGTGCTGTGGGGTGACCTCGGCTCCAGACAGCCATGTTCTCTCCACCCCAGAGTTTGCCAGACGCTTTGGTGCTGCACCCCGTTTCCAGCACCCCATTTCTCACATCCCATTTCCTGTACCCCACTTCCCATGCTTACGTTTCCTGCACCCCTGTTTTCCTACCCCCTTTTCCAACCTTTGTTTTGTCTCCCGTACCTCTTTCCCATACTGTTTCCTGCACCCCAGTATCCCGCACCTCTCTCCCCACCCCTGTTTCTCTCACGCCTGTCTTCTGCATCCTGTTCCGCACCCCGTTTTTTTACACCCCATTTCCCACACCCGTTTCCTGCATCCTATCCCGCACCCCGTTTCCCGCACACCGTTTTCTGCACCCCCTTTCCCACAAACCCGTTTTCACACACCTGTTTCCGGCACCCTATCCCGCACCCCGTTTCTTACACCCCGTTTCCGCTGCCATTTCCTCACTCCAGGGTCATGGTTTTTGGGGTTGACTTTGCTTTCTGCACCTGTTCCGTACCATGCCGGCACCCCGCTCCTCCCGGTTAGCTCCTGCTCCTGAGGCTGGGGTGCGCTGTCGGGAAAGGGGGGTCTCCGGACGTGGTCATGGTTTGAGACAGGGTCTCATTATAGAGCACGGGCGCCACCTTCCGGCCTCCGCGGGTACTGCACACACGGGGTATAATCCCGTGCCTGTACCTCTTCCTAATTTAGGGGTACATTAGAAGACAGCACTGTATTGACCGTGTGACTCATACCATTTGAAATGTAATCGCATATGCCTGTCCCCTGACACCGGGAAGGAGGAGGCTGGAGGGGACATGGTCAGCCTCAGCAATGTAGTGAATTTGAGACCAGCCTGGACTACCTTTCTCTCTAAAATTAAAATAAGATAAAATTTAAAAAGTAAGCCCGGCATGACACCTATAATCCCAGCACTCGGGAGGCAGAGGCAGGCGGATCTCGGTGAGTTCGAGGCCAGCCTGGTCTACAGAGCGAGTTCTAGGTCAGCCAAAAATACACAGAAGGACACAGAGAAACCCTGTCTCAACAAACAAACACAGATTTAAAAGATGCATTTATGTTGTCAAGGACCCTTTGTGATATCAGGGAACGCTCGAGGCGGCCATGACTGGGGAAACCCTGGCATGGAGCGGCCAGAGGCTGCTGGGGGTACCCAGGGCTGTGTGCCCCACAGAGAAGTCTCAGCCCTGTCAGTCACGCTGGGGTCCTGAGGGTGGGGATACAATACTGACTTGAGTCTTTCTCTCATGAGCCCCTTGAAGAGTGGGGTGCTCCCTAGCTCCCGACTTTTTCTTTCCTTTTTTTTTTTTAAAGTAACTTTATTTTTATTTTATGTGCACTGGTGTTTTGCTGTCTGTGTGAGGGCGTTGGGCCCCCAGAAATGGAGTCACAGGTGGTTGTGAACTCCATGTGGGTGCTGGCAATTGAACCCAGGTCTTCTGCAGGAGCAGATGGTGCTCTAACTACTGAGTGTCCCTCCAGTCCAGTATGGACCCTTCTAAAAATAATTACATGTATTTATATTTGTACATGTGTGTGGGTGCGTGCATGTGTGTGCTCACATGTGGAGGACAGCGGACAATTTGAAGGAGCCGGGCTCTCTCTTTCCACGGTCGGGAATTGAACTTGGATCCTCAGACTTGGAGGCCATCCATCTCCTGAGACATTTTGTACAACTTTTTCCGGATTGGTAGCAGCGCCTGCCATTACCACACATGACCACCAGGGGTCAGCAGAGGCCCGTGAGGCTCTGCACCAGGGGACTCTCGGGGAGCTTGGATAAGGGAAGGTGGGAGGTTCAGCTGTTGGCGACGCTGGGTGACAGTCATCCTCTTGGAGGAAGTGATGCCTGAGAAAATGAAGCTACCCAAAGTACAGAGGGTGGAGGCGAGATTGAGGGCCGGGTGATTAACAGGGCTGCAGGGTATCAGGGAAGCCCGTCTCCATAAAATCAATCTCCGGTCTTGACGCTCTGGGGATCCACATACAGCAAGAGCCCCGGGCGGCCCCAGCACAAGGGTTTTCTCTTCACGGTCCCTTCTTTCTTGCAGTCTGGGGGCGTTTCTGCTGGGAACGTGAGGGCGGGGGGGGGGGCGGGAGGGACGGACACGTGACAGGGGCTGCCCTGGCGCAGCAGGTGGCTCAGACTCTGGCTCTTGCACACACACACACACACACACACACACACACACACACACACACTGTCTGGGTTGACTGTCCTCTGGGTTTGTTCCCGGCCTGTTGGAATTGTGGTATTATCAGGTCTCTGTGGACAGACCACCCTGCTCGGCCCACAAGGTCCCAGCAGCCCCCCAGAACACCAGACACACCCGTGTGTTGTTGTGAGGCTTCACACGGAGACCTGCCAGACACGCTCCTGTTGTGCCCAGGGTGCCTAGAACCTTCTCCTTGCCCAGTATGTAGCTGAGGACGCGGGAAACTTCTCACAGCCTCAGCTCCCAGGATGTGCTACCATTATCCTGTCCCCGCCCTCCAGGGCATCCTGGGTGACACACTGGGGTGCTCCTGGCATTGTTGGCAGAGACTGTGGAAGCTGCTGTGCCCCGCAGAGCCAAGGGCACCCCACAGGGAACACCCCTGAGCAGTGTCCCCAGCACCCGACGCGCTATGCTGCTTAAACCTCTCCTGCTGGGGTAGGTCCTGTCACCAGGTTTCCATGTGGGTAGAGTCCCAGGACCTCAGTGGGGACAGGTGGCTGGGTGACAGTCTCCTGGGGTCCCTGAAGCAGGGCATCTCCGCTGAGAACGATCTTCCCCTAAGATACCGTTGGCCTCTCAGGTCAATTATTTGTTGAAATTAGGAGCGGCAGGGCTGCGTCCCCGGCACCCGGCCGCCCGCATTGCTAGTTTATACCCAGAAATAATTACACGGAAACTGTATTCTTTCAAACACTGCCTGGCCCGGCTAGTTCCAGTTCCTTATTCGCTAGCTCTTACATATTGTTCTAACCCATTTCTAATATTCTGTGTAGCCCACGAGCTGGCTTACCAGGGAGGATCTTAACCTGCATCTGTCTGGAGCGGGAGCATCATGGCGACTCCTCACTCAGCTTCTTTTTCCCAGCATTCTCTTCTGTATACTCCGCCTACCTAATTTTCTATCCAATAAAATGGGCCAAGGCAGTTTCTTTATTAATAAGAAATCACTCCCACATCA